GACTTCGAGGTTGCTCACATGCATCTCCAGAACGAGGCGCAGGCCATGAAGTAGTGCCTCATATTCGGCCTCATTGTTGGTGGCCCGGAATTGTAATCAGAGCGGTCTCTCATAGGTTTCTCTGGATGGGCCCTTGAGGATAAATCCGACCCCAGCTGCTTCGGCAGTGGCCGAGCCATCCACATGCAGGGTCCACATGCTCTCGTTGTTCTCCTGCCCAATAGCATGATCTTCAGGAGTTAACTCGGAGATGAAGTCAGCCAGTACCCGAGCTTTGATAGCGATTTTGGGGGAGTATTGGATGTCGAATTTGCCAAGCTCGACCGACCACCCTAGCATTCGACCCGACGCATCGAATTTGGAAAGGATTTGACACAACGGTTGGTTAGTAATCACTTTGATTATGTGAGCTTGGAAATATGGTCACAGCTTTTGGGCCTGCTTCATCAGTGTGAGGGTCAGCTTCTCGATCGGGGAATACTGCACCTCGGGCTCGACGAGGACGTGGCTGACATAATAGACAGGTTGTTGTATTGGTGGCGTTTCTCGAACTAAAACCGAGTTGACCGCTTGTGCCGAGGCCGCAAGGTAAAGACCAAGGGTTTCGCTCGGTTCAGGTGAGGCGAGTCAGGGCAAGCGAGCGAGGCACGCCTTTAACTTTTTCAATGCTTTCTCGCATTCTGGGGTCCATGGGAAGTTGTTGGCTTGCCGCAGAGCCCGAAAGAAGGAGAGGCAATTGTCGCCTGATTGTGACACGAACCTACTAAGTGTCGCCAACTTCCCGGCGAGGCGTTGCACCTCCTTGATCGAGCGGGGGGGGGGGTGGTGGGTGCATCTCGGTTATGGCCTGAACCTTTTCCGAGTTGGCATCTATCCCTCTTTGGTGGATGAAGAAATCGAGGAATTTCCCCGAACTGACCCCGAAGACGCACTTCGTGGGATTCAGGCGCACGTTAAACTGCTTGAGCGTTTGGAATGTCTTCGCCAGGTCAGCCAGGTGTGTGCTTGCAGTCTTGCTCTTCACGATCATGTCGTCCACATATACTTCCATGTTCCTCCCGAGCTAGTGCTTGAACAGCTTGTCGACCATTCTTTGGTAAGTCGCCCCAGCGTTCTTTAAGCCGAAAGGTATTACTTCGTAGCAATACACTCCTCTGCTAGTGATGAAGGCAATGTTCTCTTGATCTTGAGGAGTCATTCGGATTTAGTTGTATCCCGAGAATGCATCCATAAACATGAGGAGTTCATAGCCTATGGTGGCGTCGACCAGTTGGTCTATCCTAGGAAGTGGATAGCAATCTTTGGGGCATGCTCGTTTAAGATTGGTATAGTCAACACACATCCTCTAGCTTCCATTGGGTTTCTTAACGAGGACTACATTCGACAGCCACAGAGGGTATTTCACCTCAGTAATAAATTCTGCCTCTTTAAGGCAGTCAACCTCATCGCCAATCGCCTTCTACCGGTCAAGAGCGAACTTCCTTGGCCTTTACTTCACCGGCCTAGCCTCGGGGTCGATGTTGAGCTGGTGCTGGGTCACCCCTAAGTTGACCCCGGGCATCTCCTTAGGGGACCATGCAAACACATCGACATTTTCCCTCAGGAAATCGATGAGCTGGAGTTAATTTGCTTCGGGGAGCATCATCCTGATTTTCATGGTCAAATCAGGTCGGTTCCTTTTCAGGGGTATCTCGGTGAGTTGCTCGAGGGGTTCCAACTGCATTGGTGCCATGGGTCCTTCGCAAGGATCCAGGACTTGACGAGGGTGTGACTTCTCTAGGAGAGTAACCGCTATAAGATAGCATCACCCTGACTCTCCCGGATCGCTTCGGGATTCCCTGATCCCTGCCGAAGTTGGAAACTTGATGGCTTGGTGGTAGATGGATACCACCGCTTTCAACTTATTGAGCGTCGATCGGCCGAGGATGACATTGTAGGCCGAAGGTAGGTCGACTACCATGAAGGTAGTCATTATCATCTTGGCCCGCGGCTCTTCTCCGATGGTGATAGCGAGGATGGTGGTCCCGAGTGGGGAGATAGAATCCCCCATGAACCTAGTGAGTGCTGACGTCATGGGGGTGAGGTCCTCCTAGGTCAAGCCGAGCTTCTTGAAGGCATCGAGGTATAACACGTCGGTAGAGCTCCCGGTGTAGACCACTACTCTTTTTACCCGAGCGTTGGTGATCCGAATGGAGATCACCAAAGCATCGTCGTGATAGGAGAGCTCAACCCTTTCGGCTCCGAAAGTGATTTTAGGCTTAAGCTCGGATCGAGGACATTTCTCGACCGCGCTCCAAGCGTAGGCTTTCCTCGTCGTGGAGCTACTGCTGTCGGTTACCGATCTTCTGGAGATGACATTGATATGTCTTTCTACGGGTCTCCTGGGGCACGGAGTTGCTTCCTGGGGTTCCTTGAGATAGCGCCCGAGGTGACCTCTTCAGATCAGGTCCTCGATTTGATTCTGGAGGTCACATCAGTCTTCTGTGTCATGGTTGTAGTCTCGGTGGAACCTGTAATATTTGGACCAGTCTTTGTGAGTAGCTTTCATGGGGTTGGGCTATCGTAAGAGGCCCTTCTCCATGATTTGGAGGAAGATCTCGATACGAGATGTGTTTAGAGGGAGAGGCGGGGGCCTCGGGAGCAGCAGCTCTTATCGGTCGGGCCTCTAGTGAGGTTGCACCGGGGCTGCTGAGGTCGTTCCTTGGGATTATTCCGCCATTGGCCTCTTTCCGTCCATGCGCTTTCCCGCCACCAGAGCTTCGGCGGTGATGTACTGGTTGGCGTGCTGGAGCATCTCGGGGATGGTTGATGGTGACTTCTCGATCAACGACCAGAAGAACCTTGAAGGCTTTAAACCCATCAGAAACGCCAGCATGATTAAAGAGGGATGAGCGTCCGGGAATCCCCCGATTTCAGTGGCAAAACGTGCCACAAACTGAGAGAGCGACTCGACTTCACACTGGGACAATGCGAGCAAGGTGGCCATGGAGGTCCTGGGTCACACGCTGGCAAGGAAATTCTACTCGAACTCCCTTGCGAGCTGGTCGAAAGATGAGACCGAGGATGGGCGCAGCCGGCTGAACCACGCTTGCGTTGGTCCCCTAAAGGTGGTCGAGAATGCCCGACACATCAGGGCATCGGAGGTGCCATAGAGGGTCATCTGAGCCCGGAACGCGACGACATACTATGTGGGATCGGAGCCGCCATTGTATGCCTCCAATGCCGGCAGCCTGAAGTTGAGGGGTACAGGCTTGTCCTGTATTTCCTGAGTAAAGGGGGATCCGCCTGAGCTGCCTTCGCCCGACTCGCTCCGCGACTCCTGGAACTCACGCTGGAACTCATCTAGGTGTTGGTTGACTTAGGACAGCTGGATCCTGAACGAGTCATCCGCCGAGTCGGACGATATGGTGTCAGGCTCGGAGTGGGGCGGAGTGATTCGACAAGGTGCGGGTATGCTCTGCTCGGGTAGACCTCTTGGGTCCATCATCTGCTCTCGGGCTTCTCCCGTCCCGACCTGCTCCCTGCTCGGCCTTTACCGTGTCGGGTCGGTCGGGGGAGCCGCTCGCTGCACGATCTGAGGAATGAGTGGGGACGATCATCTGCATCATCCCCGCCATTGCCTGTATTTGCTTGGTCAGCTTGAGGAACGCCTCCGGCGACACGGCCGAGGGTCCCGTGGTAAGTCTGGGGGGTGACAACCTCAGGTCATTAAACAGGTGCCAGTAGCGATCTGGCGTCAAGGTCAGGATCCCCCCGTCTCTGAGGACGGGGAGGGGCTGATCTCCTGGCCCAACAGAGGGGTGACCGATCAGTGGTTCTCCTTCGGGGAGAGCTCCTGCGGGATGCTCCTATGACATGGCCCTCCTTCTAGTGCCAAAAATGTTGGTGAACTGATGTGCCGTGGTTAGTGAGTCAGCACAGCCTGGTCCACGGGTCGATGTCTGGAGTCTTCGATCAGATGAGCTGGTTGCCGAGGTCGATCGAGCCCTTGCGATGGGGTGTCGACGCGGGGTGTTGATCAGCGTCTCTTAGTCCAGACACCGGTTAGCGGCTCACCGTCTGGACGTTGGTCGATGACTCCAAGGTCGGAACGCTCGTGGCTCGAGGGTGGTCGCTTTCCTACAAAAATGGCTTTCATCAGGTGATTGCCGACTATGGCCCCTCCAACGAGCAAGTCAGTTGTGGGTTGATTTATTCTTTTTTTACCTCCTTCCGGTCAGATGCCGACTCGGGGTTTTTATACTGTTGTACAAGGGTCGATCATACATGGGTTTGGCATGGTGACCGATCCTCGATAGGTGAGATGGTACCTTCGTGCGGCCATCGTCCCGAGGCGCACGGAATGGCGTCATGCGACGTCGTCTTGGACTTTCCGGGATGGGATGTATCGAGCAATGCCTTAGTACGGATTCTGGCTCAGCACGTCGGATTGCTCCTCTTGCTGACATGGCTGTAGTGTGACATGTTATCGATCAGGTCTAGACCCAAAATATATCTTATCAAGTACTAAGATGAGGCTGGTTGTTCTAGCGAGGTAATAAGATGAGGCTGGTTGTTCCAGCGAGGTAATTATACACATGTATGATAGCAGAGCTCTTAGCCTTATATATTACTACAAAAATATCCTATATTATAACAAGCAAAGAGATTACATGTTTTAGATTTATCTCAATATGATTGTTAAGAAACTATTATCTACTTGTCCACTCTGAGTATGTTATATATATATATTTATATATTTATATATATAACCTAAGATCTATCATTTGTATAATATTATACTAACAATCCAGATGTGTCAACGTAGACTAGTCATCTCCACCCAATGATCATTGGCCTCAGTCATGGGACACCTTCAAAGCAAAAAATAAAAAACCTGGCAGATAGAAACAATAGCTACACAGCCACTTTAGACTTCCTTACCAAGTAAAACAATGGCTGCAAGGCCGGCCGAAGAATTATATACTACAACGCTATTATTGCGTCAAGACCGTGTCCTTCTCCTCACTGCTATATCTCTTCACTGAAGACCAAGCTCCAGAGTAGCTGTATCTTGTCTTGTCCCTTCTCTTACACACACACAACATCATCCTCTTCTCGCATAGATCAACCCTCCTCGCTCTCGTTTGCCTTTGTACTCACCGTTGCTAGGTCAAGGCAGAAGAAGTCGTTCGGTCATGGAAGGTGGCGAGAAGAAGCAAACGGAGCCATCGAACGACGCGATGGATTCGTCGGAACCAGTGAAGGAGAACCCTGGCGCCGGCCGGTTCTACGATTGCACGTTCTGCAGGAGAGGTTTCACCACAGCGCAAGCGTTGGGCGGCCATATGAACATCCACCGAAAGGATAGAGCCAGGACGAGAGTCTCCGGCAAGAAAGACGGTGAAGGATCAGGTAGTGGCGGCGCTTCTTATGACCCCAACGTGGACCACCAACGCTCTTATCCTCCGGTGTCTCGTCCTGTGTGCTTCGTGTCATCGAGTTCTTCGGGTCGAGAAGTAGCATCACCACTTGGTGCCGACAGGAGTTTGCAGACCAGGCCGAGCGAACCAACTCGTTCTAGTGGCGAGGGGGGATTGCTCCCACAGATGCATGAAAGGACGGTAAAGAATAGAGGAGAGGAGGAGGAGGAGGAAGATGATGAGATGGAAGAAGTGGATTTGGAGCTTCGACTCGGCCATGACCCATGACTCACACTCGCTGCTTCACCACTCGGTTAGTCTATTCTACTCTTCACCACTCGGTTATTTCTTGGAGAAGAACATGTGTGATGATAAGAACCGAAGGGCTATAACATATGCTTGAGTTCCGAGCATGTATTTAGGGTTTGGTGGATCATATATTTCCTAGAACAACTTGAATGCAATTTTGTCTCCCAAGGCTGTGTGTATTCCATACATTTTACTAGTGGAAGAAGAACGAACTATATTTTTCATGTTCTACTTGACATAAAACAACTTAAATGATTCCACTATTTTCTTAGGCAGACTCAAATTGCATCGAGAAGTAGTTTATCTTATACATTTCATCATCTTTTTCTTGTTCATGTTCATGATTCACTACGTTATGTAGAGTCTCTTATGTTGATGATCATTTCATTACTTTTCTCATCTCCCACTCGCATAGCTTACTTACATTGTAGGAAAGGAATGATTATGGATGGAGGAGATTGGGTAGCATATTAAGAGTGATGATTAGTTCTACATGGTTAGGAAGTTAAGTGAATTATGTGTATTGGTATCGGCCAATGTCTTGATTGTATTCAACTTGCCTTCATTATGAATCAGATATTTGGACACTACCTTCGGAGGCATTTAGCTTATTATCTTACATTTTCATGTCGAAACCTCCGTCGATGGTAAGATCTTTGTGAGAATGTTCTAAGTCCGCAACATCGATCCTTTCTATGCCCACAAACTATTGGGTTGAAGAAGTTGAAGATAGCTACACAGTCAACTCATTCACAAGATTCGAATCTTTCTCTTGTCTGTAAAGATCCGAGTATTAGATTCTCCGAATCTATCTGTAGAACTTGCGGCGAAAATATTTCACACTTACGGTCTAAAGAAATGGACATAATAACATCAACCAGTAAAGTTATATCGAGTTCAGACTTATTTATGATGAATAGAATCAAGAACATGAAGCTTTGATCACAATGTAGTTTCAGAAGAAAACCCCTCTTTATTTCTATTAGTTTCTCTGGTGGTTTCTTTCTCGGGGACTTTTAGCACAGTGATGTATGTAGCAACTTAAATTGGCAATAAAAGCCCTTTCAAAAGTGTTGTGTGTGTGTGTGTATATATATATATATATATATATATATATATGAGAGTCAAATAATTGGTCAAAGTAATCAGAGGTTTTTTAGATTTAAAATTGATTAATAATCTTGATTAATAGTATTTAACTTGAGTTAATTGGACCGATGTCAGTGGAAATGATATATGACAAAGATTTAAGTACTTAGAGGGATATATACATGCAAAATTATAGTTTTCGCAAAGTTCAAAAACTTGAAGGGATACATATGGGCTTTGAGACTGATCCGATAGTTCAAGCACCCAATGGGCCTTTGAGCCTTCTCATCCACAGCCCAACATTAATGCTTTAACATTAATTATATGTGAAAATAAAATGAATAAACTATATATATATATATATATATATATATATATATATATATATATATATATATATATATATATATATATATGTCACTTTGGTGCCATTCATAGTCTCGCTCTCGAAATCATTTTTATATCGGAGATCCCATTAAACATCATAAGGTAAAAGCATTATATCGGAGGAGTCTTGTACACTCATCTCTTGTTTGTTTTTGTATTCAAAATCACAAAAAATATCGATTTTTCGATGTTTTCTATTTGCCAACATAATTGAAAGCATTGTAAGATAAAATCATTAATACCATAATCTCTTTTCTCTCTCTCTTCATTCAAAGAAATGAGCATAAATCTCTTGCATCAAATTTTAACATACTTACCATTTCGATATAACATTTTGTATCGTTATAATTTTCTATCAACTACGTTATGGCTAATTACATATTATCCATATAATTAGTTATTTTTAGTATTTTAGTTTTTATATTTTTAAAGTTATATTGAGATTTCTATACTCATGTAAAATATTTAATCTCATTGTTTCAATAAAATCCTAATTTTTAACCTTTTGAAATTATCTTTTTAACCATGTACAAGGATCTCAATAATTTACTTTCATAAATATAGGGATCCTAATATAACTTTTAAATGTATAGAGTTTGAAATGTAACTAATTACAAAGAATAATCTATAATTAGCCCTCTATGTTGTTCAAACCCATAGTCGATTATGATGATCAATATTATATTCTTTTTCTTGATAAAAATAAAAGCGAAGAAGGGCATATGACAAGGCTTGGTATTAATTTTAGCCCTTATCCTTGTTATTTACATAATCAGTCACAATATCATTTAAAAAATGAATAATGCTTATGCATAAAAAGCATTAAAATGAGATGAGGGAGCACTAAAAAAATTACATAAAGAGTAAACAAATGACTAAGGATTTTATTTTTATTCGGGAGATTTAAAAATCAGAGTCCAACACAAAGTTCTCGTCGTGTTATATAGTTAATTAACGGTCCCATATAGGAATCTACTTTCGTTGGATGCATCTTCTTGAAACATAAATTGATTTTAATTGGAAGCTAAAGATATGATCTTTTATTTCGATACTTACTGTTAATCTAATATCACAATCAGGTTCTAAATAATAGAGTTGTGGGCTAAATCAACACTCAAATGCATCTACAGATCACTTCATCCTTGTCTTTAGCTGTATGTGTTATGTTGATGCATGACATGCACTTTGGAGTTCCTCCGAAGAGGAATCCAAACAACTCCTGCATGACCCGCACTTTGGAGCTCTTCCTATTACCTTGGGTTTAACATAGGGTTAGTTCTTCCGTAAACAAGCGATCGATAACACGATTGGAGATTAATTATAAGATCATTGAGTTATTTTCACTTAAACACAAATATTCTTGAATATCCAATCACATAAGCTATGAATAATATATATATATATATATATATATATATATATATATATAGCTATTCTCTTATATTCTTTAAAATCTTTCTAAAAGCTCAGAACTACCGAAAGTATTCATTACATCTTATTTTTCTTTCATATAAAAATGAGTCCTTATTTTTATATTTGACATGTTTGAGCAAACTAAACTAATGGAAGCTTTTCCAAAACAAAAAAAAAGAACTACTAAAATCGACGAGTAGCATATCTTAGAAAGTTGCATCAGTATAATTGCTTGTAGTTTTGGGAACACAAACAACAAATGAGGAGTCAATGGTCACTACATCTGCTACTTAATTACTACTGCATGGAGATTCCACAGCTGCATCGTCATAAGACCGCGACAGATGGGAGCATGAGACTGTTTCCGCCTTGCTTTCTTTATAATCTTACAGTACTCCTTTACCGAAAGCAATTGATGACTCAACGACTGGTTTGTCCGCTTCAATCTGGTCATTTCTGGATCAACTCCTTGCACCAGGCGACGTGGGTCATCCGCCTGACTTGGTCCTACAGGATCTCGAGGCAACGCCATGTGACATTTGTGTCGAGAAGTCAAGCAGTGCGCATCGGACCTTCCCCATCCGAGAACTGTTCTCTAGTCTATCCAGGATCAGTCCTTGAAAGAGAGAGAGAGAGAGAGAGAGAGAGTGACATGATATCCACCGGCAAGCGTTTCTTTTGCTTGCTAAGTTCTCCTTTGCGCTTCTTTTCTTTGCTTTTACTATTACTATGTTTGCATGCAAATAGTAAGTGAGAAGAAGAATGTACTAATAAACTCATCGAGTTCAATTATTTCAACAGCCTATATCGAAACCTACCCTTGTTTTGTCAATAAGAATCTATCCAAACATGTATAGTTGATTGTAGTATTTGAGACTTCGTTGCTAATTATATTATCTTCCATCAATGATTTTGCTTTTAACTCATATGATTAGGACCATATAATCGTAATATACTGCGCAGTTTCACCTCTGGCTCAGAGACACATGATTGGGTTGAAATCAACATAAAACAGATCGATAGCTGTGATTTGAGCATGGATTCTTCGAAGTATTATGCAAAACAATGCATCAAAAGAATAAGGTGGACAAAGTATTATGACAACATATAACCAATAGAAAAATGAAAGGATAAGGCAATGAATGGTTTTAAGGTGCACTTAATTCTTAATAGAAGAGTCAACTCCTTCAATGGTTACAACCAAACACTCGAGTGTATTTGAAAGTAGCTCATACTGATCGAAGCAGGATTTCTTCATCAAACATACTATGCAGTTGGTGGTGATTAATATTGCAAAGATAGAACTACATTATCTTAGTTGTTGGAGACAATACAACTAAAACCATCATATCAGATTACAGTCATGCTATACAGATGTAGTGATAAATTTGATAATGATGATATAATTATCTTAATTGTTGGTACAAAATTAAAGCATAATAATGTGAAGGAAATGTGTGCTTGAGAAAATAAATGTTGGAATATGCAACTTGAATCTAGAGATATTAATTATACTTGATTTCTTCCTTATTCTGCCACAATAATCAGATCCTAGAACAATGTCCTTTGAGACTTTCCTTTCCCCACAGTTCAGATGTCCATTATGTATGCCTTGTGTTGATCCACATTGTACTCACATCTTGGTGTCTGGATAGGAAGAAGGGATCCAAACAACATAGTCCTATCAGATTGAGAGGCAATGTGATATGTGGAACTGAGCATCATCATCATTACTGCAACATGTAATGCAGTCGATGCTATAATAATTAGCCTTGTTAATTTAAATAAAAGTGATTCAAGAAATTAAGCCTAACTTATAGTAATCATCAACGATATAAGGTGAGAAATTTTGTGATTAGATTTAGGCCTCAAGAATGCATTGAAGTTCTGAACATTTGCTCAAGAAATGTTTTAGAAACCCTATGACTTTGACTTTGACATGAAGAAAATAAATTTGATGAACCTTTTTTATGTTGTTATTTTTTTTTATGGAATTTACCAACAAAAAACCTTTAAAATATTAGGAGTGAAAGCAGAATTTTATAGAAGAAGAAAGAAAGTATTGACCCCTAATATTGGAGGTGTCTACTAAATGAACTTTCTAAAAGGAGTAAATTAACATGAACAAATCATGAATAGTGTTTGTGTTTGTTGCTTTTAGAAGTACAGAAAACGTAAACAATGTCAAACTAAACCTTGTGATGTCTACAGCAAGTAGATGTGATAAGGAAAGGCATATGGTCAAACATCATGTTACGATACACAGTGGAGAAGGTCTATCGATTATCACATCTGAATCAAGCCTCCATGGATGGGTTCCAAGTTCCATGAACTTTAATGAAGGTCTTCACTGTTTTATAGGGTCCACAATTCATGTCAAGACAAAGCTCACATTAATGGCTTCCATAAATTAACCCTCAGAGGAAGCAACACTTTGAAATCACGACAACATCAACGTGTTTCTGAGTTTGACTAGTTCGTCACGGTGCAAAGACAATGAGATGATAGGACGACTACAACTACACACTGAATGCTACTGCATCAAATGAAGCCGAAACAATTGAGAGGGCTCAACCTGTTGTGCTCCTTCTGCGAAGCTTCTGTGCTGTTAGAATGGCGCCCGCGCATGAGCCCATCCGAAGGCCTCGTGTCCCAGTTGCCCGCCGACCTCGTCGTGTGCCATATGTGGCGGCAAGTTGTAGATGGGAAGCGCCGAGGGATCGGGCAGTCTGCCTGGTCCTGAGGCTCCGGGCATTAGCGGCGCCAGTCCACCAGGGAGGTGCTCCGGGATGCCGCCACCACCGCCCGGGATTTCGTCTCCTTCCTCGAGTGGCAGCCTCTCGTAGGTAGCGTTGGCAAACGTGGATGCTATGACCATCACCGGCCCCGCGGCGATCAGGGACCCCACGACGCTGCCGCCCACCACCTGACCCTGCCCTCCGGCCAGGTAAACCGTCAGCCCGGTGGTCCCCGGCGGGGAAGGGCCCGGGAGGAAGGTGCCGGTGAGCGACAGGATCTCGAACCGGCCATGGAGGGCGACGACGGCGCCCGGCGCAGAAGGCTGGCGGAGGGCGACGTTGGATACCGTGCCGGCGCAGCTGAGCACGCAGACGCCGCGCTGCCTGCGGCGCGCGAACTGCGCGATGGATTCCGCGATGTCGGAGCCGCCCGCGACCTCCATGACGTGGCTGCGGAGGGCGTTAGGGCTGTCGCGGGTGACGAACACAGGCGGCTTGGGCTTGTTCTTGGATCCCGGAGGGCGGCCGCGGGGGCGGCGGGTGCTGACGACGATTGCTCCCTCCCTCGGCTCGCGGTCGTTATCGTTGTCCTCGTCGTTGCCTCCTCCGCCAGTGCCGGCGGCATCGGGTTCTTTCAATTCCATCTCCTGGTTGTGATTCTCGTGATCGGAGGGTCCGACCTCCCCTCCTGGAAGGCCCAGCTGCCCTTCCCACCACCGGTTAGCCGCCAGCTTGTCAGTCTCTTCCCTTGTCTGCTCGCTTCTTCTCCTGCAGAGCTTTGTCGAGCCTTTTCCTTCGCTTGTAATAACTGCTACGGGCTCCCAATAGATCTTACATCAATCTAAACATGTGTGGTTGACCGAGACAGAAAAAGATACACGAGCGACATGAAGGATTAAGATCTGAACACGCTCAAATATCCATGTTCTCTTCCGGGTACAGAATAGAGAAGGTAGACAGTACATGCTTTAAGTGGGGAAGCAGGAAGGAAAGAGGGGGATAGAATACAACCACATCATGGAGAGATAAGAGCTGAGAAATGTGCCTTTACTTAGCTCTTTTTTCTCTTGGGAGGGAAGCTATTAATATAATCTTGTCCTTAGCTCTTTTTTTTCTTGGGAGGGAAGCTATTAATATAATATTGTTCATAGTCTTTGTTCAAACCAAGGAATGCAAGTGGGCATGCCCTAAGACCAGAAGAAAGACTTGGTGTGGTGAGAGCACAAGATAAGTTTTGTTTCTGTGCTCAATATTTTATGGTGAGGGCACTGATTGGTCTGATGTTGCTGTTGTGGGGTTGGTGATGAATGGTTAGGTGATGCTTGGGAGTAGCTATTGAGGGAGAACTGCATGGGATGAGAGAGAGAGAGAGAGAGAGGTTTTGTTTCTGTGTTTAATACTATAAGGTGGAAGCAGTGATTAGTTTGCCGTTGGTGTTGAGGGGTTGGTGCTTCAATGGTTGGTAATGCTTTGGAATTGCTATTTAGTGAGTGAGAAAGAGAGAAAGAAAGAGTTGGAAATTAGGGTTGCCTTTGCTGTAGGACAGTATGACACACAGAGGGCAGGTGGGGAGCACACACCAGAGAGAGAGAGAGAGAGAGAGAGAGAGAGTGCTTTCCTAATATATTCCTATGCTGCTTCTAACCAAGCACAGAACACCTTTTTGGCTCCCCTAAGCAGGAACAACCTTAATCAAACTGCATCAAAATAATTCTATATCAGTCTCATAATTTCTCTTCTTATTTTAACTCCCTTTGCATGGTTTTTTTCTATTACACACATCCACAGCACCGCTGGACTTGTAGTTTAGACAATTCAAATGTGAACTTGAGATCAGTCTCCTTTTCACTTTGGTTTTGACATCTAACCAGAAACAAATGAAACTTTCACTTCCAACAAATCAGATAGCCTTCCTGAAGCTGGAAATAAATACAAACTATGACAGACATTGATGCTACATCTGTAATTGACCCCATTGATTTAATGATGGTCAAAGTAGCTCATTCTCTGAAAATATAGATGGAGAGATCCCTTGACCACACAAATCCTTCCTTGTATCATCCATCACCTTTCTCTGTTATATATAGTAACCTTCTCACTCAACACTCATCTTCTTCCAAACCTTGACATCCTTTTAAAAGCACTGAGATCACTACACAAAGATCTTCAAATATCCACTTTATGCTTCAGTCATCATTGAATTCCATTTATTCACATCTACTAATGTTTGAGTTAGAATGATGTCTATCAAACTCCTCCAAAACTAGCATGTGCTGACCTTTATGAATCATGCAAAGAAATCCCAGTAATGTCATAGAAAGAAGAGAGAAAAAGGAGTATGTCATATAACCAACCCTACATGATGAAGTCCCTGTTATCATGGTTTCATACTTCAGACTATTGACCTGACAACTGAGCCCTACACATGAACCATTAGAATATGACCATTACCACCAACTTGCCAACTATACCTGTATTAATTAAACCAAAAGTCTGCCCTACAGCTACAGCAGCCTACAAGCAATTCCAGTCATTAGTGTCCAATAACATAGAAGATGAGTGGCTTTGAACTGCAAACCAAAATTTCACTTATGAATGGATCTTATGACTTACCAACTCTGGAGAAGATTAAGCTTCCTCAACAAACCACATAATCTATGGCATGAAACCAAGCAAAGGCTTTCATGAAAAATCAAATTTGAGATTCTTAAAATGGTGGTCCTTAGTGCAGAATTCAAGTTCGACACCTCCCCTAACCAATGAGATTCTCTCGTGCTATGTTGTTCGATTCACAGTCGCACTGTTCCAGAAATAAAATAGTCAGAACCCTAGTTTTCTAGTATGTATACGAGTGGCACGGCTTTCATGAAATGGATAACCTAAGCTTTGTCAAACTTGATTGATGGTTGGTCGCGCGTGAGCTTCCAAAACCAAACAAAACCAAAAGAAAAGTCAGGTAAGCAGCACACGCAGGGGGTGAATGTGAGCCAAAAGATGATCTAAAGAAAAAGTGATTGGGAGGGGGATTCAAATCCTTGTTTTAGATGCATCTTTTCCACATGGAGAAACACCAATCCTCAACCCGAAGACCGGATCAAAGATTCAGATCTATGGCAGATAAGTCAAATGAGAGGAGGGAGGAGGGAGGTGAAGGAGAAGTGAAAGGGTCTGTCTTGTTCAAGCAACAGTTTGCCAATCCATTATAGGGTTGGATGCCATGGTCACAACTCCAACATTCATATACAAATAATCCCCACCGAAAATAATATCTATGTATTTTTATATCTAAAATAATATCTGATGGTAGCATATCAAACCCACTTACTAAAGGTTAAAAGGCTCGAGTCGCATCCAAAGATATTTTATGATCAAAAGATCAAAAGATCAAAACTTGTCTTCATCAATTACCCTTTGCAGAAAGAAAGAAAAAAATTAATTTATATTCTTTTGCAATTGTTCTCCCAATTTCATCCTATTTGAGTTAATAAAAGATTAGGAGATTAAAATCACATCCAACAAATCTGGAATGGAGGAAAGATATCGACTAGCTTAACTTGTCAAAACTGCTATCAAATTGCTTGATAACAAGCTCACCCCTCCTTGGTGTTTTGCAAGTGTAATAATACCACAGATCCAGTCCAGAGTAAATGACTCAAAAAATAGTTGTAACAAGCATCTAAATGATTTTTTGCAAATTCTTCACTGCCAAATAACTGCAAAACTACTTACCAACTTTGCAAGTCAAAAATTTAACTGAGAATACAAAAATTCTGTGAATAATCGGTTGCAACTTCGTACCCATAATTTCATCGAGTTCCTTTATTATGTGACAATTAAGAAGCATAAACAGTTGATTGTAATTACAGCAAACAATAAGCACCATTCATAAAAAGTATGCATGTCTGAGCAAACTGGCCAACAGCACCTTAGATCCTATACAGTGACATCTCTGCAGGTTAGACATTACACAAAGCACTATAATGCTGCAAGCACCCCAACATGGAACAACAAGCATGACCTTAAGAAGCTAAAGATCTAATGGAGAACTCAGGCTGCTACTTGGTCAAGTAATATATGAGTAGGAAGAGTGCCACAAAGGATGCCACAAGGGTGGCCATTCTGCGATTTGATTTCGTCTCGAAAACCTAATGTGAAAAGCCGCAATAAGCTCAGCCATGTAGTTAGAAGGGTTACTGTAAATAATGAATTCAAATATATTTACCATCTTGAAACGATCCATTGTTCCAGAAAGGATTCCCCTTGACGAGTCCATATCATTGCCCTGAAACCAAAAATAATAAATATTGATGGAAATTGACCATGATATAGAAATCTAATAATAAGAGAAGAGGAGGTTGACAGGGAGGAGAGGAGCAAGGAAAACATTAATGTAAAGAACTACATACCATGCGGTCCAACATACGACTGTGGCTTTCAACCTCTTCATGTATGTCACCTGTCAACTGTAAAAGAGCATCGAATGATACTCTAAATTGTACCAACAATTAAGCAGGCATCAAGAGAAACTATCCAGCATACTTTGAGGACACACGAGCTAAGAAAATTGAATTTCAAACACCAAGGAGAAGAATTTTGATATGACTGATCAGGTACAGATGAATTTTTAGTCGTGTCAAAAAGCAAATTCACATGAAATACAGGGAAGACTGGAAACCGAGAAAAAGAATTTTCCTGACAAGAAGAAAGCATCAGGTTGTACAAATTATCCAGAAAACTGACAAACTACCTAACAAATTTGGCCACCAAAGATGAGCTATTTCTACTATTCTAGAATAGTTTCTTCATCAAAGATTTCCGAAAGAATGCTTCAAATAATCCATAATCCAACAAACAAAGCATGTAAAGTTCTTCATTTCATGATCAAAAGCCCAATTTGCATGATGCAACTAAATGGATGATTGATATTCACTGTTCTATTTGGCACTGTTTGTTATCGAAAGATTGTTCATCCAGCCTAAGAGATTATATATATATATATATATATATATATATATATATAATCAAAACCATCACCCACTAGTGACAGCAAATATTCCTATTTTTGGTTGTGTGCTTGTTTGCTATTCTTCCAGTTCCTGTTATGCGACAACCACAGTCAAGCTGAGCCACATCAAAATTTATCAATCAGTCTTGTCCTCCATTAATCGGTGGGAAGGAAACCAAACCTTTAGGAGTTCCCCGCCATCACTTCACCTCAATGTAACAACAACCCATCTGACATCTATTGATGCAAAACAGATTGAGTAGCATCATACCTAGCATATGCTAAATTCTACTGGGATAAAGCATGCTAATAGATTTATATGTATATCCATATACATCCTTATAATGGGAGAGAGGCTAGGATGGTCCATGTTGTTTCCCAATATCCTTGGGACTCTACAATCCCATATATCCCTCTCATTTTCAAGCTCCTAGCATGTGTGAGAACTAGCAAATTAAAATGAATTCCCAATTTACTCATCACAGGTTTGTCAAAGAATCAGAGAGAACTGAAATGTTGCAGTCATTTGTCATTTTATAGTTACCCTCTTCAGAATGTTGACTCTGTCTTGCAGCCCTTCAATGGCTAGATCATTGTCATGCTCATGAATTTCATGAGAAGAGTATGCTGAAGCTCGAATCCCACCTTCTTCAATGCCATCAAAAAGTGCAGCTCTATTACTGCGATGGTCCCTGTAGTAAGTAAAATATCATAATAGGTAGATATAACATCATTGTGCAGAAAACATTGCTACTTCAGTATCTAAGTAAAGCTTAGTGCCTTTCAAGTTGAATGCCTGAAGTTTATTCATTTGTTCTTCACTCATCAATTACTCTATACAGATTGTCAACATTACCCATCAACATGCATGTACTGGTTTCCAACTACCTTACAACACCCAACACAAGAAGTAACATCTTACAGAAGATCTTTTTCAATGATTAGCAGAATAATAAATGACTATTACTCATAAGAGAATATGTGACACGAATGGCGATCAAGATATATCAGGATATTAATGCAAAAATGAAAGTGACCCTGAAAGAATACTCCCTCAAACAGTGTCAACCATGAAACCTCAACATTTCATATTTCTTTAACATGTTATCAACTCAGTGAATTACAAACATAACAACATGGGAAAGGAATGCTAAAATCAAATAGCTTCTACTTTTAGAACAAAAAATCTTCATTTTCAGGATTATGCTTTTTATTTGAAACCATACTCTCTTGCCTCTTTCACTTAATATTATATAGACAAAAGGCATCCAGCAGAAGCAGCTCCTTGCATATTAAATGCAGATAATACATGGTCTATGAGATATGTGGAGCTAGGAAAAGGTAATTTAAGGTAAAACATTAACCCTAGATGTTGAAATAATGATGGGAATGAAGAAATCTCGCAGGTACCTCTACAAGATTTCATATCTTTCCTAGTTTACAAGATTTCCTTCTAGTCCAAAGAGCCAACAACAAGGACTCATCTTACTATATTTTTGTTAAAACAAGGTTCCCAAATACTAGTTATAAGACGTTAAAGCATACCCATAATGGCATTTACAATGGACCTAAGGTAACTCAGATCAGCCACATTCTTGAAATAAATAGAAAAGATAAGCACATCCACCAGCATGCTACATGTTCACAATTTCTAACATGTTAATTACCAATTCAACAAATTTGCCACTAAAAGTTTAACACAAGTAAACAAATCATATAGGAGAGAAAGGGGGCAAAGGATGGGTCAAATGCTCATAGTCTTACCTCTCCATGCAAAAGGGCTACCTACATTTTCTGATCTCATATCCTCCATGATGCATTACGGAAACCTTACAAGGGGTCATCCATAAAAATAGACCAAATATGATCACCTCATTTTTTCTTGCACGCACTAGATATCAGGCGGGGCCAAAGGCACCTTCAACTACCATTTTTCTATGTCTAGTCAACCTCATAGCACCGTCAGATAAAACTTAAATATTCAATTAATTATAAAGGCGACAGAGATGGCTTTGCAATGGCAAACAACTACTAAGAGACTTTGTCTACTTGTGAAGGGTAACATTCACAAGGCAAAGCTACAGCAACAAAGGGAAAGCACATTATTTAGTTGCCAACCCTAGGAATCCAACAGACCTCTCCATTGACAGCCTAAATTACAGAGCCCACCAACAGACCTCTCAATTCCAAATCTTAATTTGATAATGTAATGGACAAAGAGTAAAGTTAATAAGATGATCATTGGAAATCTTATATTCATATAATTCATATTTTGTTTGATCTAGATCTCTAGCAGTGAAAAATCATCAAAAAATCTACCTATAATAACGGAAGAACACTTGCACGGGAAACAGTAAAAGGGCAAAAAGAAAGGTTCGATATGAGGATAGAGCTAACTATCATTCAGGAATCCTAACCCAATAGCTGTGACATTAGTAGAACAAAAGTATGCACAGTGGAAAGATAAGTAGTAAAATAAACATCGTTCATTTTTGCATAATAAAAACGACAACAAAAAGAAAATGTTTCAGTCAATAATTTCCACAGAAAGAAGAAGATCGGAACTGACCTCCTCGAATTCATGGCTGCTTCAGAAAAAAAAAACTGGAAATTTCTACTTCCGCTGCCTTTTCCTCGCAATTCTTTTCCTTGCCCAATGCAACGTTTTTGTTAGTGGAGCACGTAATATCAAATCCAGACAGAGATCCAAACAAACGAAACGAAATAGATCGGAAAAGGAGTCTAATCTCAGAACAAAACGGAAAAATATTAACAGAATCACGGAGATCCAATCAATTTCAACCCAACAATCCGAGCAAAGCGAGAAATTTTTCGGATCTCCAGCAACCCAAGGAAACCGTAGATCGATTCCTCAATCAGATAGACCAATAAATTCATCATGATAACAAGAACCGTAACCGAGAGAACAACCTCACTCCGATCTCGCAGCCAAATTCGTCGGCAGGATTCCTTCACGAGTGGCTTCGGGTCGAAGGAGAGGAGTCTTTTCGACGGTTCCCAGCTAAGCATGATTGCGCTCATTCGGCCCCATAGGGATAGAAATCCTACCGTCCACAGGGTCCGGCGCGGATCTGAATGATGAATCATGCCTCTGCACGAATCGTGAAGCGAGATCGTTTGTCTGTATCGATCGACCGACACTGTGTCATGTTCGGATCTTATTCGAATGTGGATCCAAGCCCCAATTCGGGCACCTCTGGATACGGATCTATGGACGAATTCCCCATCTGATAAGCTTACCGTTTCCTAAATGAGGAGGATAAATGTTTAAATATAAATAATATACTTTAAATAAATGTTGCTGATAATTTCCCGATGAATGATCAAACCAATAGAATTTTTATTGTATATATGTATTTTGAAAATATAAAATGATGATATTCCAAACGAAAAGTGATTAGAAAATTTTGAATTGTATTGATGAATAATAATCTTTATGATATATTAGTTTAAGAATCTGATTGAACCAACATTTCTTCTATTTCTATCACTATTGACAGTGTAAGGTTTCTTCCATTTCCATCAGATTTCTTACATTTTCTAGGGTTCTATTAGGTGTATCTCCTCTTCTGCAAATAAATTTCCAGTCATTGTTTTGGTATGTCTCCATTTTTTTGTAAACAAGCTTCTGGAGTTATTTTGTATTGATGTTTAGTATACTGAACTTTGTGAAATATTTTGAGCATTATTTTGTACAAAAGAAATATTCATAGTATGGGCTATGAATTGATTATATTAAGGGCTATAGTTAAGAACCATTTGAACATATATTGATTCTTGTAAAATAATTTTTCAAGGATACTGTATGTTGTTAACAGCTATAAAATAGTGACTATGAATTACTTGATAAAAATAATTTGATCAATTATAACTATTAACTTCTATCTATTTTTTTTTTAATTTAGAGAATTTTTATATTTTTTTTCTAAATTTTTAAGTATTTGAAGAGTGTGTCATTTTTTATTTTCTTCTTATTTTTTAGTTTCATAGAATTATAAGATAGACTCATGTAATATTTTATAGCATTTGGCCTTCTAAAATATAAGTTTTGATATACAATACATTATTTTCTGGGTACTGACTAAAATTAATTTATCGTATATTAGGATTGATCCAAATCATTTAAAATTTTCATAAAAGCTTTTTTGAACTAGACCCATATGGACATATGTCATTGTTTTTCTAATTAAGAGAATTTTTTATTTTTTAATTTTTTTCAACATATGAAACAGTATGTCATTTTTTATTTATTTTTCATGTTTTTCCTATTTGTGAATTAAGATAGATAGATCCACGTAAAGTTTTCTAATATTTGACCTTCTAGATAGGTGGACAACCTATGGTAAAAAAATTATACAGAAAATATGTCCTAGTGTATGATACATTATTTTTATGTGAGACCAAAAATAATGTATTGCATACACATTTCATGAAAATTTTGAATTAGACCCATATGGACATATGTCATTATTTCATTAATAATCGATTTTTTTATTATTTGTTCATCATTTGAAAGGTGTGTTGTCATTTTCATATTTTTCTCCTTGTGTTTTTTATTTGCACTTAATTAAGATGGATCCATATAATGTTTTTTGATATTTGACCTTTTAAATAGGTGGACAACCTATAATAAAAAAAATTATGAAGAAAATATATGGTACATGATATTATACTATTTTTGGGGTTAGACCAAAAACAATGTATCGCATAGTTGGTCCACATCATTTGAAAATTTTATGAAAACTTTAAATTGGTCTAAGATATGGAAATATGGCATTGTTTATCTAAACAAAAAAATTTTTGATTTTTTTTAATATCTGAACAGTGTGCAATTTTTTTTTATTTTCTCCTTATCTTTTCTATTTCCACTGAATTAATATGTATCTATACAATGTTTTCTATTTCCATATTTTATTTAAAATTTTCATCATCTGAACAATAATCATGTCACCAACTGCTTATTAATTTAGAAAAATTTTCATTAAATTATCAACTCTAATACCTTTTGGCTTTAACCATGAATTAATCATGTCATCTAGCATTTATTATATACATATAAATTCCAAAGCCAATTGCAAGAATATTGACACAAGCCATGTTTTTGTTTACAGTCATTTATAATTAGTTTCATTTAAATTATAATCATTAATTAATTTATTTAATTTTTAGCAATTAAGTCATTTCGACGATGAAGAGATGTCAAAAATCTATAGTTAGTTACTGGGCAAAATTTTGTGAATCATTTTTATCATTTTCTTAGCACATCTTCCAAATATAATCAAGAAAAATTAGTCTTACTATCACGAAGATAATATCATTTGAATATTATAAGAAATATTTTATTTAGCCATTTCTTAGTTATCCTTGATGTAGTCGTATCTCATGGATTAATATAAATAATTATAGGACAATAGTTTGAAAATGAAAAGTTTCCGTTGAATTGAGTCGAACTATCATTTTCGGTGACAGATATATCTCTTCTTCTTAATCTATTAAATACTATATAAATCGTTGATTTAAAGACATTTGGATCTTTTGAATATATGATAAGAAAGTATTTTTTATACGAAAGGTCAGAAAGATGGATGATAGCATTGCATCTATGTGAAGGTGAGAAATTAGTGATAGATTTTTATCGGATGTATTTGCATGTATATTATTTTATCAAAATAACTATATATTATAGTGGTTATTAATATCAAACATTGACGATCTTAAAAATTTGAATAAGTGATTATAGTTCATTCATTTATTTTTAAAAGAATTCTAATAATAGGAAAGAAGGTAGATATTCAAGCGAAACGAATAAGAAAGGTTGCCTACTTGTATTACAAGTAAGTTACATAGGCGTATATAGTTTATAAATTATTATATTAGTAATTTGGTATAAAATGATTTGATCTGTATTTGATTTTTGATATAGGTGATTTTGTGAGCACATCCCATGCTTTAAGTCATCAACCGAAGTACAATCTTCAAGATTATAAAAATAATCTATTCTCACATTGTATTAAATAATAAATAATAAAATGATATAAAAAATATCATCATATTATCCCAAAATCAGATTTATAATTGTACGATTGTCTACAACAAGCAGATAGCTACAATGTCCAAAGTAAGTGCATAATAATTTTTATAAGATAAGAAAGTGGATGCCTAAATTGAATTATTTTTATCTTGTAGATTATTAAGAAAAGTGAAGTCGATGAAGCGACATTAATCTTAATCTTATGTAAGTTAGTCATTGTCCTGAGTTACATATAATTTTTACTTATATCTTGATTGTATGTAATAAGTGTTCCATTTGTTTGTTAATTATATTGTAATAGATTTTAACAATATGGTACATGAAGATACAATAGATACATATGCTAATGTTCTTAATTCGGAAGGCTTGGGTGTCATTATAATCTTATGTATCGTAGATAGTAATATATTCAGAAATCAAGATACATATGCATTCAAGATTTTCGATAATTTTCTTATTTAATATAGGATTTTTAGAAATCCTATACTATTGAAATTAGTGATATTATTTTAGAAATATTTTAAAATATATATTTTTATGCCATTACATAAAGGAGGGCCAATTAAATATATTTTTATGCCATTACATAATAAGAAATTAGAACATTGGTACTTTTTGGTTGTTAATGTACGTAACAAAATTTAGGAGTATTACAATTCAATATCCAATTTAGAAAGTAAAATACAAAGAATTAGAAGATAGTAATGGCTTAACAGATTCTTTTTAATTATTTTATTTTGATAAATAAATTTAATAAATCATATTTCCAATGTTATAGTTCATTGAAGAATATGAGTGATACCAATATAGAATTATTGTATCCTCGAATTACCCCAATCATCAAATCATAGGGATGGATTTACCAAAATATATCATGTTCGAAGCAAATTGTATCATAAGTTACCAATTTTAAAGATTCTAAAATATCATAAATATTTTATTATTGATTAATTATATAATTAATAACCTTTGTATATTCTAGAAAGATTGTGCTATATCGAGCATTTATTTTTTTGGATATTATGTTTACACATTCTCCAAGTTAAAGATGAAGGCATATCGTCTACAAATTGCAAGTGCAATTATAGATGATGAGTAATTTTGTAGATAATATGCTTCTTATTTTGTATGAAAGACTTTTGTGGTCTCTAAAATTATACAAATCATCTTTTAAATGGTTATGACTGATCCAAAATTATACATATAAATCAATTTTTTTGAAGAATATGGTTCTCTGAAATTTTGTATCGTACTTTGTACTAAATTGTGATAACAGAATATTTTTTTAAGACATTACATAGCATTTGTGTATGGCAAAATGTTGTTGAAAAACAAAGCATTTCTTTAATATATGATACATTATGTTTAGGATCAATTCAAAAACAATGTATTGCATATGAGGACTAGTAAAAATGAATTTAAATCTTATGAATAATTGGAATGGCACTAAGATAGACTTGTATAACATGTTTTCTATTTTAGATAAAATTTTCAATAATTTTTTGAATTATTCACCGTCAGAACAATGTGTCATATTCTAATTTTCTTTAATTTTTTTATTTCTACTGAAAAGCTATGGTACATGCAATATTTTTTTTTTGATATTTGAGCTATTAAATATATCAGATAACCATGACAAAAATTGATGCAATACACTATTTTTAAGGTCAATTCAAAAATAATATATTGATATTTTTTTGAATTGATATTTTTTTTGAATTACTCACCATTTGCACATTATGTCAGTTTCTAATTTTCTCAAAGATTTTTCCATTTCCACTGACATATCAGGGACATATGCAAAATATTTTGACATTTAATCTTTGAAATACATTCACAAGCTATGATAAGACATATTACATTAGAAGATATTAAGACATATTACATTACAATTGTATAAGCCACTGAAATTAAATTTCAGTAAGCTGGTTTAAAATGCAACTCAATTGATATTCACTAGAATATCAATGCCCTCAGGCTCATGATATAGGTAAAACTTTATATAATCGATGATTATATCTAAATTATTGGCATCTTAAATATTTATTCTTTTTCTTATCATTATGTGTCAATTCATTTTTTACTTTTTTTTCTACTGCCGGCATATAATATGCTTCTCGAAGGTAATAAGATATAATCAAATTCTCGTTGTATTTAATACTATTTGCTTCTTGTAGGATATATTTTATCATTGCAGATTTTCTCGTAGATGTTAGGTCTATAATAATCTTCACAAAATGAATATGGACTACCATTCTTGTATCCAATAGTAGATATAGCATGAGAACATAGAATTTTCAAAATATCAAAATGCCAACATGAACAATTTCTTTTCTCCAAATCCACTATAACTATCTTAGAGGATGTCTACACTTGTAATTCAATAAGTATGAGAAATCCTTCGCCTTGGTAAGTTGATCCTCAATGATAATTGTCAATATTGATTTTTAATTATTAAATTTTTACAATCTTCTTTCTAGTTATTTCAATCATAAAGATAATAGATAAGTCACGAATATTCTTAAGTAATGAATTTATAATTTTTGATGTATTTGTGGTGAGTATTAAGTAATAACGGATAAAATTAAAAAAAAAAAAAGCATAAGCTCATTTCTCCTTAATTTTATATATCCAAGTGGGTCATATTTTATAAGCAAAACTGAGGGTGTTGATCGAAATGATGCGGGATGAACCGGAAGCCGGATTACGATGCCCAATTGCGCGCTAACCTAGACACCACAAAGGGTGTTGATCGATTAAGACAGTAGGACGATGGTCATGAAAGTCGAAATCCGCTAAGGAATGTATAATAACTCATCTGACGAATCAACTAGCCCCGAACTATACAATAACCATAATATACTCATGAAAATATCTTTTCTACAGTTGAAAGAATACCATGATTGGGCATCAGCTTAGTTTCTTGATCGCCACAGAATTTGGGATAGTTCTGCTTTATCTTTTGAGATCCGTTGATTGGATCTCGTGCTCCAATGCCTTTGCTACTTGAAAGTTGTCTTCTTCGGAATAGTTAGTCCTTTATTCGATTAGGCACAACCAATTTCAAATGTTGGAACTCGTTGAAGTTTACCATTAGCTTGTAGGAACAAAGTCCAAGCAAGGTTTTGATTGGCCACAGTTACAAACCTTGGGTGCGTTATCTGTGGGTTAATGCTGGATGGCGGCTTCTTCGGCACAAGGATTTGCTTTACTACGCTACAAACCCAAAAGATGGTTCCACATCTTAATAATATTTCATGGTAGTATTTTGTGGCTTTATCTCAGTAGAATTTTAATGGAGTCTCTGATGAGATACGTCGTGGAAATTTTAAGGAGGCTTTAAAACTACAAAATGTCCGCAAAAGATATGACGTCAGAAAACACGTCATAAGGATTTAAAACTATGATTAACTTTAGGCAGAAAAAGTCTTTTAACTCAAATGTCCTCTTCCATGCAGTATCATCTTTTCTTGCACAAGTCACAAGTGCAATGGCCCCATGGTGAAGGTTAACTGCTGCAGAGTTATGTTTGCTTGATGTTCCTTCCTGGTCTGTATCACAAACCCTAAACACAGTGAGATACAGAACTGCTGTCTGATCAATACTTTAAACTACTTTTAACATGGGAGGTATATAACATCTGCGTCTGATCAAAAACCACAAACTTACTGAATTTAACATGAGAACATGAGATGACAAAAAGCACTGAGTCGCAATATATTGTTTGTGATCGAACAGGAAGTGCATAAACCAATAACACGAGCTTAAATTACCAATCTCATCTAAAATAACATGTTTAACAACTAAATTTCAGGGAAAAATCTGATTATAAAGGTACAAAATTACGTTCTTGCAGCAGCTTCAATGAGGTAATTCTGTTGCAAGGACGTATGATCTTCATCATAAGACCCACTGCTGTTGTGGCTGCAACCAGCTTCATCTAGACTGTCTTTGTCTTGGGAGCCGCCTTCCTCTTGGACTGCCTCTTTGGAATTGAGTTCTTCATGCCTAGGAAGAAGAGCAGTGCACCGAAAAGAGCCAAATTCTGCGGCGTAAATGTAATTTCAATGCATGAGTGGTTTGCTCCCTCTGATAAAGTTGATGGAAAATGTGTGACAACCAAACCAACCTGTGTGAACTTGAAAAATAGTTCCACAAATTCGGGCTTTTGGATATCGTAGTTGTAGAAGTCGAACACGATGGGTGTCACCACTGCCAAATGAAGAAGCTTCACAAAAGAAAGATGTAGCTTTCAGCATCATCATCTTAACAGAAGTCACTGGTTTAAATTATGCAGTATTGTTGCTAAGTCGGTAAACAAATTACTACTGAGTAAGTTTATGTATAACTTTGTCCAGTAAAATCATGGTACTTAGGAATTACAGACCAGAAGATATGCTCCAAAGGAACTGCTGAAGATAAATAGAAGGCCTCCGAGCCCTTTAAGAACTATGGTAGCTGCAATCACATGTTTCATCTGAAAGTAATAGCAAAAAAGTAAAATTTTCTTGAATATTGATTAAATTTGGACCAGCTGTTATAAACTGAAATAGAGCAAGGAAAAAGAGTGTCCTTACTTCAACTTCAGGGACTTTTACCCCCAGATGCAAGGTAACATGATTCACAAAAGTGTCATATTTTGGTGCAACAACTTTTGCTGCTGGCCCACCATCAACTCCAAATTCGATAATCCTGAAAACAGAACTTAAATATTAGCACAAACCATCACTCAGCTCCCTGGTAACTCATTGGCAAAGTCACCTAGGAAGATTCAGGGTTGTAAGTCTATTTTTGCATATATTCTGCATCCGGACCAATCAGCTAAACATGAATCATCCCACTGCTTCACCAATTTCACCAAACTAGAAAGAATTAGCCACTTAAACTCAGGCATTAGAGTTTACAACATTAAGTATATAATTCCAATTTAGAATAGGGACGTGGAAGCAATTTAATAGCTTCATGACCACTGAAACCAAAAAGTTACAACAATTTCATTCATAAAAATCTGCCTACGGTAAGACAATTTTGCACCCCAAAGCTCACTAAGGTATCACATGTATATAGAATGTAATTTATATTCAAAACACCTTAACTAGATTCCAATGTCAATATATAATACATGACCACAAACTTATGATAATCAAAACAAAGATACATCCCTATCTTAAAACTCACATCCTTTGAGAGGAACTGACATCAATCTTCAGAAAGGCTTCTTAATTTCTATGATCTCACAAGCTTACAGCTTTATGACACTATTTTGAGCATCAAGAAAACAACATCACTATTTGAGGATGCATGTATATTAAAAATTAATATTTTTGAGGATGCATGTATATTTGAGGATGCATGTATATTAAAACATCACTATTTGAGGATGCATGTATATTAAAAAAACATCCTCAGAGCTTCTGAGGATGCATGTGTATTAAAAATTAATATTTGATTGTTCGATATCTTAATATCAGAATATACGATTTGACAAGCCCGGAACTATTTCTCAAACAATATGTCAACAATATGTCCAGCAGGACAAATCAAATAAATTAAACCAGAAATTCATTTCTGTCTTCCTCAAATCAATTCCAATAGTTGATTGAAGGATGATTATGAGGAAGAGATGATCATTATGTCGACCAACTTTTGAGCTTAGCAGACTTTATTGGTTGTGTTTGCCTTCGATGTGTGCTTAATCATTATCATTTTCAACAAACAGTTGTAAAAGAATCAACAATTGAGTTAGATGCGGATAACAGTAACTATAAAAACTTGAAATTTTAAACTATGAGACAACATGAAAGTCAAATATGAGCAAATATAGCTGTTTAATAGAAAGATGGTACTTTCAAGGAAGAAAGAAAATATAGATAAGGTCGGAGGGCAAGACAAAAGAATTATGGGAAGGGACGGATGCTATATAACCCCACTTGCTTTTCTGGCATGTGTGATACACATGACAAAATTTAAGTTTTATTCAAACTGTAATATCAATGGATGTTCCTTATTCATTTCATGAAGACAAACAAAAAAATCAATTTACTGGACCATTCAGGCCTAACTTCATCCATCAAGGAAGAAAGAAAATATAGATAAGGTCGGAGGGCAAGACAAAAGAATTATGGGAAGGGACGGATGCTATATAACCCCACTTGCTTTTCTGGCATGTGTGATACACATGACAAAATTTAAGTTTTATTCAAACTGTAATATCAATGGATGTTCCTTATTCATTTCATGAAGACAAACAAAAAAATCAATTTACTGGACCATTCAGGCCTAACTTCATCCAAGTTGGTCAGAAATTAGTATTTCTTTGTTTAGTTGCTTAGAATCAGAACAGTTCATGACGGTAATCAACAGGAAAATCCTACACCAATTCACAACAAACGTACATATACATAACATACTTCTGACACTTACAAAGATGCCCAACATTATGTTCAGACATTGGATCAGCTACAATTGCAATAATTGATTTATCCAAAACACATATGTATCCTTCAAATGCATCAAAAAAATCAGATTTGTTGGATGTTTCCCAGTAAGATGTTTGGCATCCACCAGGCACACAGCAGATATTGCAAGTAGCTCTGTAAGGAGGTACAGATCTCAAAAGTTTGTGATCCATCTGTCATCATGCAATTTGTAATGGCCCAAAGGAGAAGGGTGACAATGGTTCACATAACCATCTGCCCCCATTTCACCATGAGCAAAATAATTGACACCAGGTACAGTCAGATCCACTGAAAGACCACACTCATATATTCCAAACAGGACCAGAAAAGCCACGATAATGGATCTAGTCAAATTATGCTAATCATATCAACCTCAATGCACAAAATTCCTTATTGACCAGCAAAGTATCACATGATAAGTATCAAAATTTTGCCATGTACATCATGGAACAGGGTTTTCAGCAAAATAACAAGCGGATGCAATACTTCGACTAGCACCACAATTCTATCCCAAAAATGGGAACAACTTGATTTCAAGAACAATAACAGCAAGATCCAACAAACACCCATAAGCTTCTAGAATAAAAGCTGGACAACGAAAGATAACCAACACGAGATATTCTCGGGAAAAAAAACCATTTTTACAGAAGAAAACACCTATTCAAAGCATAATCTATAAAACTGAGGCTGGGGCCAAACCCTAGCTCGGTGAAGACGACCACAAGCAAGAAAAATGGGCAGATCTGAAGCGAAAGAGGGTAGATAACAAGAATGAAGCTTACTCCTGGTAAGCGGAAAGAAGGAACACGGAGGCGAAGAGGACCCTTCCGGCGAACGAGACAAACCCCATCGCACTCTCCTCCCCAACTCCACCAACGAAAGCCTCTACAGGAGAGAAGACGAGATCTGCCGCTCGCTCTCTCTATTTAAAGCTGAGGACAAGCCTGCCACTGGTAGTCTCCATATTCACGGAAGCGCCACTGCATGGCCCCGGCCTCCAACGGTCGGGATTGGCTTTTTGATTAAAGTATGCTTCAGACACTGAGGCCAGCTGTCAAGATTCGCGATCCGGTGGGCCGCACATGGTCTCTGACGGCGATTTAACTGGGGAGACAGGCGAATGGATCCGGGCCGTACGATGACGGATCCGATCCGTTAACTCTGACGACGATTTGACTCCACAGACATCAGATGGATCCGGGGCGTTAAATCTGACAACCGGAGCATTAGATGGGTCGGGTTTGTACGACCCCTGATCTGATCCGTTAAAATACGATTCCGATGGGTGACTTGACGGCGATTTGACTCCCCATCCCCGAAGACAAACGAATGGATCAGGGCCGTACGATGTCGGATCCAATCCGTTAAATCCGACTCACGTTCTCTGACGGCAGTTTCACGCGGGACAGACAAATGGATCCGGACCGTACGACGCCGAATCCGATCCCTGGCGCACTTCTGACGGCCGTGTGATGCCGGATCTGATCCGTTAAGTCCGGTCGCAGACGGGCTAATCAATGGTGCTTCACGGCGATTCGACTACAGACAAATGGATACGGGTCGTATATATCGGATCGGATCCGATTAAATACAGAGGAAAGAACAGGGCAAGTTATTGGTGACAAAGAAAACATTTTCTTACAGATCTGTTCTAGGAGTTCCGTAGCCAGAAGACTTGGACTCCATTGCTGATTTCTTTCTTGACTTCATCACTGTGATCAAAAAAGAAGGATCTTTCATGGTGATCTCTAATTTCCTTGCAGTTTCCCAATGGCATTTCTGCAGAAGATCAGAACATTGGCTTTCTGAACTCTGAAGAACTGGAAGCAAGCTTTCTCAGTTGGATGAAGATAGTTAACTGAACCAGACTTCTGGCAAGGATTTATAGAAAGAATCAAATAAAGATGAGGATAGATCAAATTAGACACAAGTGATTGGATGTCAACACATACCATGAGAGCTGCAATATCAGATATTAATGACCCGAGTCATTCTGACAGAGACTTGAGCAATCCTGTTGAGTCCTCCATAGACATAATGTGCAAAACAGGAAACTGAACCATTCTGAAGTCAGCATCTTCAGCATAATGTGATTAGCTGTGCGTCTATTTCATTCGGTATTTGTTGGCTCATATGGTTGGGAAAGAAGCAATTTGATGTCTGAAAGATATCGGTAATTGTATTTTAGTTGAGTGGCACCAATTCACAGTTACCGGGAATTGTTTTATGTTAGGTAAGCCATCGTTTCTCATTCAAGACTCGAAGGATCAATCAATTGATGCAACCATCCTCTCATTGAATGTTGCTACCTGTCAATATGACGATGTTCATGAAATTGCATTTAGATATTACTAGCCTTCTTCATGCTGGCCTTTAAAGGTCCCGCTGTCCACCTAAAAGCTTCTCTCATCTCTCAAAGAGAGGAGAGGAAAAAGAACTATGTTGCAGAAATTTATTGACATTATGCTGTTAAGTTTCAGAATTGGTAAGACAACATTTGGGGTATTCAAACATTTGGTGAGGATGAATGTAAGTGGTCTAATGTATAATTATCTAAGATTAGCTTCAAGTGTTATTCAGCATTTAGGCAATCCAATCCAACGAGCTTTGAAAATATTATTGATTCTTATTATAAAACAAATATTGAAGCTTCTTTGTTGGCTATCAGACTTATCAGCATTATTCTAAGCTTTTATGGGCAACAGTTTGAGCATGTTCATACCATAAGGCAAAAAAGAGAGATTTTTTTGGATCTAATGTGGCAATAATGCCACAAAGAACGCGCAAAAGATTGGACTATTAATTCCATAATCTACATTTTAAGTTGAAGTCCAATCTCTACACACCCTTATGTACTGACATGGAATTCTAATAGAAGACCTCCAATAACAAAGAAGCAAGGTTTCTCTTTGATCTCAGCTCAATTTGGAGGGGAAGGACAGCGCTGGGCGAGCTCGGGCCGAACGAGAAGAAGGACCTCTGGTATCTGCCAGAGCTGCTGCTTATCTCTCCGTTGACGTCTTGGAGATGCGAGTTCTGCTGCAAGATCTTCTGAAGTTCCATGTCGAGCTGCCTGTCACCTGAAGAGCCCATGGAGAAGGACCTCCTCATGCGCTGGACGCAGAACTGCTCGTCTTTCTCCCTCAGGTCAATGCACTCATCCCCCATGCTGCTAAGGTATTGGAGCTTCCTCCCCTTCTTGTGTCCCAATCTCTGCTCTGTTTTCCATGGAGAAGTCGTGTTAGTGGTGGTGAGTGATCCGACAAGATCACTTCCGAAGTCTCTTACTTCTACCACTGCATCATTTCTCCGGTATGGATCAGAACTTGGAACTAAAGCCATTAGATGATCAGTTGGAATCGGAGCTGTGATGCTCGACCTGCAGAGTGGGCAGTTGGCGTTGGCTTGAAGCCAAGTATCGATGCAGTCTATATGGAAGACATGGAAGCAATCAGGCAGCAGCTTAATCCTCTCTTCGTCATGGAATCCATTCAGGCAGACAGCGCACTCAGCAACGCTGTCAGCTTCTTCCCGATACCGAAAGGTTGGGATTGCCTGAATTGTCGATTCATCGAGGCCGAGTCCTTTGGCTGTGTTGGAGAGGGCCATGAATGGGCCAGCCCGCCGGCGGCGTCGTCGGGACCTGGAGAGCCGGCTGACAACGTCGGAGCGGTGCCAGTTCAAGCAGCACTTTATGACGAAGACGTAGTAGCTGAGGAGGAGGACGGAAGTGGTGACGATTCCGACAATGGAGATGGCCAGGATGGGGAAGCTGGTGAGTGAAGAAGGAGACGGTGGTAGAGGCCGTGACTTCAGGGAAGGGTGGAAGCTCTGAGGGTCCATCGAGGATGCAAAGGAGCTGTCTCCGATGAGCTCATGCACACATGGATCAGAAAGGAAATCCGAGAGATCAGCTGAAACGAGTTGAATCCAATGCAGAGACGAGCTGTGAGTGCGTGTGTCAGGGATCACAGTGAGACAAGAAATACAAGTGGAGTTAGAGGAGACAGGAAATACAACTGGTTCATGGTGGACTCATAAATGCAACTGTGTCTGGGTCACTGTAGATCATGGTGAGACAAGAAACACAAGTGGAGGTAGAGGAGGTGGAGGCACTGGGAGACTTGAATTGAAGTGGGTAATGGAAGTGGAGGTTGAGAGCCTACATCTCTTCCAAGATGACTGTAACTGTGTCTGGGTCACTGTAGGTTTAGCAATGGGGATAAGCGGGGAATGTGGTGGAAAGTGTTGCAGAGATGATGCTGTCTTTCGCTTTGGGTTGGGTCCATGCAATAGGTGGTCGACTGATGTTGATGTGGAGGACTGTTCATCCAAAGACCACAGGAAGGAGACAACTCTCGAGTCTCATCAATGAACAAGGTAGAACTGCTGAGACAAATTTCTTTTGGCTGTGAAACAAGGTAGACTGTGGCGGTATAATAATATTCCTAAGCAGCCCATTGGAAACAGCTTGTGACTGAGTCCAACCCTGCAGCTTGTAAGTAATCCCTGTACATGAATAGATAGATGATGCATTGGATCAGTCATTGAGACGAAGTATAGAAGACAACAGAAGCTGTGTTGGTGTTATTTGTATGGCAAAGGAGGGGTGTTTTTCGTATCAAAGGAAAGAAAAGGTGGACAGGATGTGATGGTGGAGTTGACTGTGTCTTTAAGGGCATCATCTTTCCACTATCTTGATTGGAGAATATTCCTATAGTACATTCGAAGAAATATGAGTGTATTTTTTGTTTTTTGCTTTACTTTGAGGACAAATCAGTAAAGGATGATAGTTATTAGAACTTTAGAGTGACAAGAATAGATTTCATGAGTAAATGGACAAACACAACATTGCCATGCATCATAAGTATCTCTATAGCCTAGCTTCTATTTCTTCTTATGCTCAAAATAAAATTGCATTCATAATTTATACCATTAAAGTCAGCTTTGATTTATGTAATTCTAGAATGAGTGATCATATTCCTCTATTGTAATCAAGATTAATTTTTTTTAATCTATTCATGTGATATATTTTCAATCTTATATTATTTATTATACTATTTTTTATTATTCTTTCAATATATATAACAACAATTCAGAAAATTTCAACTATTTGGTGTTGATTACATGAACCTTTATCATCATTCACATCTATAAAAAGTTATATACTTAGTAAAGTTAAAAATATTTAAATTTTATTTGTTATTTTTATTAAAATATTTTTAGGTCTTCCTCCACTTCTCCTCGTATTATTAATATTAATTATTTTATCTCTTCTAACTATTTTATCTTTAGGTGTTTTAAGTATGTGCTCATATCATTATAAATTATTCTTTCTCATCTTATCCACTATCAAAGTGATATCTAGTTATTCACAAATAAAAAATATTATTCTTATAATATATATATTATATCAATATTATTATATATTTATAATTTATTATTCTATTTTATTCTTTATTTTGTTATTCTATGTGCGATCCTTTATATTATTTTATTTTATATTATTATTTAGACCATAGTAAGTATATTACTTACTGCTTTATACATAATTCTAATATTTCATTATATTTTTATTTATTTTTAAATATATTATTTGATATTTACATTATGTTTTCTTAATTTTTATGATAGACTATATATATATATATATATATGTGTGTGTGTGTGT